TATCAGTAATGACTACAGTCTAACCACAGCAGTACCAGTAATGACTACAGTCTAACCACAGACGTACCAGTCATAACTTCAGTTGACAACTCATGTTTTGTTTTAAATCCGCAATCTGGATGGATCCCTGCACAGCCTCATAGAGGATCTAGTTAATTTCTCTAACCTCTCTGGATTACAACCGAACTATGCTAAGTGTACCATATTACCTATTGGATTGCAAAAAAATACTGCTTTTACATTACCGTGTAGTTTACCAATAAAATGTTCTGAATGTAAAGTGGACATACTCAGTATTCATATCCCGAAAGAAAGAAACGATTTCACAACAATACATTTCAATAGAAAGTTAGCAAATATAGATAAGCTCTTGCTGCCATGGAAAGGTAAATACCTGCCTGTTTAAAATCCCCCTGATTAACTCTTTAGTCATGTCCCAGTTACCCTATTTACTTATGGCCCTGCCTACACCGAACGACTTGTCTTTAAATTATATGAGCAAAAAATATTCCACTTTATTTGGAATGGCAAGCCAGACAAAATTAAACAGGCCTATTTATATAATGAATCTGAATTTCGAAGGGCTGAAATTATTAAATATTAAATCATTAGACCTCTCACTAAAGGCTTCAGTCATACAAAAGTTGTACTTAAATCCGAACTGGTTTTCCAGCAGATTGGTAAGAATGGCTCACCCCGTGTTCAAAAATGTCATTTTTTCCCTTTATTCAGATTATAACCTCTCACTTTCGGTTATTTGAAAATGAAAACATCTCCAGAATATTGCTATTTTTTTTAAACAAGCTATAGAAAAGCTGGTTGCAATTTCAGTTTAATCCACCAGAAAAGACAGAACAAGTATTACAACAAATATTATGGTTAAACTTAAATATCCTAATTAATTTATTTGTTCAAATTAATTTTTGAAGAAAAAAAATAAACATTTTATAGTCTTTGTTAATGATATCATAACTACGACTGGTAGAGTTATATTACACATGCAGCTAGCAGAAATCTATGGAAATGTCTGCTCTACCCCAAAAAAAGATGGAAGCCACAATCTATCTGCAAAAAAATAAAATAAATAAAAGCTGGAATTTTAGGAGGAGATATGCATCTTTCACATCATTTGCCACGGATATAAAGCGCTCCGCACGTCATTGTCCTTAACAGTTGGAAAGATGTCAGAGCGCGACAGGGAAGTGACAGCAGTAATCCTGTACGGCAATATTTGAAGAAGTTAAATGAGAAGGTGATGAAATGCAAACTTTGCGAGGTGGCATTGGGCTACAGTGGCACTACAGGTGCAATGCTGAAAGGGAGGCACCGTGAGACCCAACCCGTTGCTGGCAGCGGTGCGATAAAATCCCGGCACTGATTACAGAAATGTTTGCTGTTGATATGCAGCAATTGTCAATGGTAGAGGATGTCGGCTTCAATACCCTTATGACATATCTAGAACCAGACTACCAGATGATGAGATGATAAGCCCTGATGGATAAGCTCTGCAAGTCTAAAGCGTGAGCTCTCTAACACCACACGTCTATGAACAGGCTGTCATACATCACTGCAACGAGCCATCACATTGACCAACAGTGGGACATGAAGCAGAAAATAAATCATTCTCTCTACTATTATTCTGACATTTCACATTCTTAAAATAAAAGTGGTGATCCTAACTGACCTAAGACAGGGAATTTTTTACTAGGATTAAATGTCAGGAATTGTGAAATTGTATGTAAACTTGTATGTAAACTTCTGACTTCAACTGTATATACACCTGTTCTGAAAGGCCCCAGAGTCTGCAACACCACTAAGCAAGGGGCACCACCAAGCAAGCAGCACCATGAAGACCAAGGAGCTCTCCAAACAGGTCAGGGACAAAGTTGTGGAGAAGTACAGATCAGGGTTGGGTTATAAAAAAATATACGAAACTTTGAACATCCCACGGAGCACCATTAAATCCATTATGAAAAAATGGAAAGAATATGGCACCAAGAGACATACAGTATGTAGCTCAATTGGTAGAGCATCGCGCTTGTAACGCCAGGGTAGTGGGTTTGATCCCCGGGACCACCCATACGTAAAAATGTATGCACACATGACTGTAAGTTGCTTTGGATAAAAGCATCTGCTAAATGGCATATTTATTAATTATATTTTTCCCATCGGCAGGGACTGGGAAACTGGTCAGAATTGAAGGAATAATGGATGGTGCTAAATACAGGGAAATTCTTGAGGGAAACCGGTTTCAGTCTTCCAGAGATTTGACACTGGGACAGAGGTTCACCTTCCAGCAGGACAATGACCCTAAGCATACTGCTAGAGCAACACTTGAGTGGTTTAAGGGGAAACATTTAAATGTCTTGGAGTTGGAGCAGTTTTGCCTTGAAGAATGGGCAAAAATCCCAGTGGCTAGATGTGCCAAGCTTATAGAGACACCAAGAGACTTGCAGCTGTAATTGCTGCAAAAGGTGGCTCTACAAAGTATTGACTTTGGGGGGGTGAATAGTTATGCACGCTCAAGTTCAGTTTTTTTGTCTTATTTCTTGTTTGTTTCACAATGTTTTGCATCTTCAAAGTGGTAGGCATGTTGTGTAAATCAAATGATACAAACCCCCAAAAAATCCATTTTAATTCCAGGTTGTAAGGCAACAAAATAGGAAAAATGCCAAGGGGGGTGAATACTTTCGCAAGCAACTGAAGAAGTCTTCTGCCGAAGCTTGATTTTGTGAATATCTGGATAAAAACTGCCGAGCCTGACATATTTATGCTTTCTGAAACCTGGCTCAAAAAATTTATTACTGACAAAAATATTGCCATAAATGGTTACATAGTTTTTCGTGCAGATGGTAAACCTAAAGGTGGTGGGGTTGCTGTATATGTAAAAGACAAGTTCTCGGCGGTTGTTCTGACTTCTGTTACTAAACCTAAGCAATTTTAATATCTGTCGTTAAACCTCGGCTCATCTTTAAATATTGTTGTTTCTTGTTGTCATAGACCTCCATCTGCATTGTATTTTCGAATTGTTATCACAGCATGTCAACTCTGTTTGTCTTGATGGGTGATCTGAATCAGGATTGGTTAACATCTAGCTCTGATCAACTCAATTCTATGCAATACCTATAATCTCACTCAGATTGTCAACAGTGTAACCAGGTTGAGTATAAAGTGTCCTCTGAAATCCTCTTTGATTGATTTAATCTTAAACCATTGTTTTAATGCTTCTGGTGTTTTTCAAATGACATTAGTGATCACTGTGCTATTGCCAGTGTGAGAGATGGTAAAATTCCTAAGCGATCTCCACGTGTCATTACGAAAAGTAACTGGAAGCAGTTTGATATTCAAGTTTTTTTGTTACATTATGTATTTAGCATTGAATGGAATAGAATAGAATATAATTAATCCCTGATGTTGAATTAGCCTTTTCTTACTTCCAGGATGTAACAACAGGCCCCTTTCAAAACATTCAGGATTAAGGGCAGAGAGAATTGTTGGTTTACTGATGAACTTACTAAGATCATAAGGGAACTAAATGCTATGACGGCTAAAGCAAGAGGGTCTGGTTCAGCGGATGATTGGATGGCTTTTAAACGTCTTAGAGATTGGAACCGAGAGACCCTCTATTCTGAAAGCTTTAAATCAGCATTTCCTAGATGCAGGCAGTTTATTTGAAAAGGTTAAAGGTCTAAATGAGCCCCCTGTGAATTTACCAGACACCCCGGTGCCCTCCTTCGCCAGGTTCTCCTTCCCATCCTTCTCTGTTTCAGAAGTGCGTAAAGCCCTGAAAGAAATGGATAGAAAGAAATCCCCTGGCCCTGATGATCTAGAACCCCGCCTCCTACACCAAGCTGCAGACATCGTTGCTCCCCCCTTAACATGTATTTTTAACCTCACGCTTGACGTTAAGGAAATCCCGAAGTTACGGAGATCCTTCGCTACTTGACAACTATCGACCCATATCAAGATTGTCTGTACCGTCTAAGGTACTGGAGTCCTTAGTTAGTAGACAGCTGAAGGCCTACCTCCAAGAAAACAACATCTTAAATGGAATGCAGTCAGGTTTTAGGTCTGGCCACAGCACTGTTTCAGCAACATTGAAGGTTTTAAATGACATCTACTGTGGGGAACCCTGACCCTGACTACCATGTTGAACATGGTGAGATTGTAGACTCCTAATATGATAGTGCAGTTTGATTCTGTGATTTTACCGCTAGCTAGCTACTTCACATGCTGATATTGACTTTGGTATTAATGTGTGTAGCTACATTTGCTAGCTAGCTAGCTAGCCAGCTTGACCAGAGAGAGCGAACACTGCATTGTGGATTTTGTAGTGGACTTAGCTGCAACAGATTTCCACACGCTGCTCCCAATCTTAATATAACAACAAAATGAAACAAATAAAAGTTGTTCTCACAGAGTTATTGAACACAAATCAGGGATCATCAACTAGTTTCGACCTTGAGCCAATGGTCGGGGCCAGAGCATAATTATTAATTAATTATAAATCATTTGTAGACTGCAGAAATTTGACAAACAATAATTTCAAACCTTGCTTACGTTTGTATACAATCACGTCTCTCTATTATTAGTGGGAATACTGGGGAACAGATTTCCAAAATAAAAATAATTTGGAGCTGATTTCCTGGTGTTTTTAAAGTATTTTTATGTCCAACAATAAAAATTACAACAACAACAAAAAATCTTGGGGGCCAAATTTGGCCGCGGGCTGCCAGTTGGGGAACCCTGCTGTAAATCATGGATTATTCCTTTAAGAGGAGGAAAGATCACCACATTAATGATAATTACAACAATACATTTTTCCTGGCCACTTGACGTGAAAAACCTAGGACATTTATGATAAAACACAACCTAATACACGGTAGAAAATTATCATTTAAATCAATGAAGAGTTTTGATTGAGAAATTAGTGAAAGTAAAGTCATACGTAAAGAAACATGGGGGGTAAAAAGAGGAGGGTGGAATGAGGTAAAGTACCTTTAGCAGAACTCTTTATGCCCCATAGATACTCCTCTCCATACCAAACAAACAGCTATGGGCTTACAGCTGCGGTACAGAATCCCTCCTCTGTACTGGAAGGCCACCAGATTCTGTTCCTCCTCACAACGGGGACAGTTAGCATATCTGACAGAGAGAGGGGATGGGGGAGAGACAGAAATAAAGAGAAACAGAGAGAGGGGATGGGGAGAGAGACAGATGACAGGAAAACAACTGTAGTCCTCCACGTGTCTGACGGATCTGAGGAAAAACAACTGTAGTCCTCCACGTGTCTGACGGATCTGAGGAAAACAACTGTAGTCCTCCACGTGTCGGACGGATCTGAGCAAACACTGAGTCCTCCAAGTGTCTGACGTCTGGAGGAAAACAACTGTAGTCCTCCACGTGTCTGACGGATCTGAGGAAAACAACTGTAGTCCTCCACGTGTCTGACGGATCTGAGGAAAACAACTGTAGTCCTCCACGTGTCTGACGGATCTGAGGAAAACAACTGTAGTCCTCCACGTGTCTGACGGATCTGAGGAAAACAACTGTAGTCCTCCACGTGTCTGACGGATTCTGAGGGAAAACAACTGTAGTCCTCCACGTGTCTGACGGATCTGAGGGAAAACAACTGTAGTCCTCCACGTGTCTGACGGATCTGAGGAAAACAACTGTAGTCTCCACGTGTCTGACGGATCTGAGGAAAACAACTGTAGTCCTCACTGGTCTGGACGGATCTTAGAAAGCAAACTGTGACTCCAAGTGCGAAGGATCATGAGGAAAACAACTGTAGTCTCCACGTGTCTGACGATCTGAGGAAACAACTGTAGTCCTCCACGTGTCTGAAGGATCTAAGGAAACACTGTAGTCCTCCACGTGTCTGACGGATCTGAGGAAAACAACTGTAGTCCTCCACGTGTCTGACGGATCTGAGGAAAACAACTGTAGTCCTCCAAGTGTCTGACGGATCTGAGGAAAACAACTGTAGTCCTCCAAGTGTCTGACGGATCTGAGGAAAACAACTGTAGTCCTCCACGTGTCTGACGGATCTGAGGAAAACAACTGTAGTCCTCCCAGTGTCTGATGGATCTGAGGAAAACAACTGTAGTCCTCCCAGTGTATTACGGATCTGAGGAAAACAACTGGAGTCCTCCCAGTGTCTGTTGGATCTGAGGAAAACAACACAACTTTAGAGTTTCGATCAAAGTTTGAAACCTCAAGCCAGAGCCTATGACTGTGGCCAAAGCATGTTCAGAGCCTGAAGCACTGACTATGAACAACAGTCCAGACATTTAACCTATTCTTTGGACTAATCTGGTGCTAAAACCAGACTTTAATTATTAACATTTTAACCTACCCACTCACACACAGACAGACAGACAGACACACTACTCTCTCACCACCCAGGAGTCTTCAGTCTCCATGGCCTGGTCCTTGTCTGTGATCTCTCCTTCATAAGGTCCACAGTGTTTCCTTAGTTGAACACCCCCAGTCCTGCTCCAGCGATGCCTGACGTCCTGACCTCCAGGCCGGGTGGCTGGGTGAGTCTGGCTCTGTCGGGAACTCCTAGAAGGGCAGGGATGTCAGGGACGAAGAGGGGAGAACTGTGGCGCTCACGCTCCTCGATGAAGTCTTCACAGTCTGGGAGAGAAAGATAAACAGAACATGGTAATTGTAAGACACCAGAGTGACTTGGAGAAAGGAAATGAAAGAGTTTAAGAGGGAGGAAAAGAATGAGGGAGGGAGGGAGGGAGGGCGGGAGGGAGGGAGGGGGGGAGGGGGAGAGAGGGTGGGAGGGAGGGAGGGTGGCAAGTGGCAATTTGAAAGCACAGAGATACCGTGACGAGAACCAAAGGCCCATTGTCGTGCAATTCATCTGCCGCCATCACCTCATGTTTCAGCATGATAATGCACAGCCCCCATGTCACAAGGATCTGTACACAATTCCTGGAAGCTGAACATGTCCCATTTCTTCCATTGCCTGCATACTCACCAGACATGTCACCCATTGAGCATGTTTGGGATGCTCTGGATCGAGGTGCAGGACAGCGTGTTCCAGTTCCTGCCAATATCCAGCAACTTCACACAGCCATTGGAGTGGGACAACCTTCCACAGGCCACAATCAACAGCCTGATCAACTCTATGCGAAAGGAGATGTATCGCACTGCATGAGGCAAATAGCGGTCACACCAGATACTGACCGGTTTTCTGATCCATGCCCCAAACTTTTTTTATTTTATTTGTGACCAACAGATCCATAACTGTATTCACAGTCATGTAAAATCCATAGATTAGAGCCTAATGAATTCATTTCAATTGACTGATTCCCTTATATGAACTGTAACTCATTAAAATCTTTGAAATTGTTGCATGATGCTTATTTTTGATCAGTATATGTTTGTTTTCGCCTCTGAATTTACGAACGCACCCAGAGCACACTGACACAATAGAGGCAATTTACGAACGCACCCAGAATTTCGGCCCAGCCGCCATTAAACATCAAAGAAGAAGAACATCAAGTGTCACGCTGTCAGGTGAAGGTGTCAACTAAAAAGGTTTGGTCGAGTTGAGCTCCAGCCAGTGAGTCTCATCAGTCACCGTAATGCCGCAGCAGCCGAGTCCTGTGTGGCTTCCCACCGACCTCAATGTCACCAAAAGATGTCTCATGTACAAACTGCTCATCTTGGAGAACGCCAGGACTACACTGGACAAACAACTAAGACGTTTCACCGAAAAGGTAATTGGGTAAATACAGCTAGTTAAATAGCTAGCTAGTCCCAACAATTCAATTGTAGCTTCATCGCTATACCGCATGGCAAGGCATGATCTAGCTAGCTAGCTGGCTATGCTAACGCTAGCTGGAAACTTGTGAATGCAGAGTTGGGGCCTCACGTTACCTAGTTAGCTAAACGCTAGATTGTGCCAAAGATACTGGTAAATTTCCCCCTTTTGTCTGTGATTGAACATTCAATCATGACTTACTCATTGCACGATAACTAGCTAGCAAGGTAATGAATATGGTAGTTGGTTTAGTGACCTTTAGGCAGTGTTGGGGAGTAGTGAACTAGCTGGGTGTACGGATCTCGTCGTAGGATACTCGTGATTGGAAACACGGTAGTGCCCGTTAACTGCCGGTAAGGCCTATACCTCAAGTGCGTTTACTGGGCTATCACTCAAGCACATCATTATGTTCCTTCACTCATTCGCATTGTTCAAAGGTAAACGACCCCCGACAGATGACAATGCACGATTTAGTCCTATTCAATTATCAACTAAATAGGCAATTAAATAGCCAAATGCATGGTTGGCTACTACTGTCATAATTGATTCCAGACACAGATTAAGACGAAGGTAGTCTAATTCGTTTAGTAGCTGTAATCAGCCAGCACTCACCTGCTTCTCTCCGTCTATTCTCCCTCAGTTTAAAATATATATAATTTAGCGATGGTGGGGATGCAGACCGAGACCCTGATGAGTCTTCTGTTAGATTTGTTACATTGGAGCAGCGAGCAATGTTGTATCATTTAATCGCCTGTTATAACCAAGAGCACAGACCGGTCTGAGTAGACTTTGCAAGTTCACTGTCATGCAGCCTCTGCGTGTCACAGAGAGGGAAAATGGACCACCGGTTCGAGACAGACATGCTTGTATCTTTACAGCAAAGAAAACGTATTGTCTCTAGCCTAAACGGTTCAATATGACCCATATTACCAGAGGTCTCTAGTCTAAACGGTTCAATATGACCCATGTTACCAGAGGTCTCTAGTCTAAACGGTTCAATATGACCCATGTTACCAGAGGTCTGGTGTCTAGTCTAAACGGTTCAATATGACCCATGTTACCAGAGGTCTGGTCTCTAGTCTAAACGGTTCAATATGACCCATGTTACCAGAGGTCTGGTCTCTAGTCTAAACGGTTCAATATGACCCATGTTACCAGAGGTCTCTAGTCTAAACGGTTCAATATGACCCATGTTACCAGAGGTCTCTAGTCTAAACGGTTCAATATGACCCATATTACCAGAGGTCTGGTCTCTAGTCTAAACGGTTCAATATGACCCATGTTACCAGAGGTCTGGTCTCTAGTCTAAACGGTTCAATATGACCCATGTTACCAGAGGTCTCTAGTCTAAATGGTTCAATATGACCCATGTTACCAGAGGTCTCTAGTCTAAACGGTTCAATATGACCCATGTTACCAGAGGTCTGGTCTCTAGTCTAAACGGTTCAATATGACCCATGTTACCAGAGGTCTCTAGTCTAAACGGTTCAATATGACCCATGTTACCAGAGGTCTGGTCTCTAGTCTAAACGGTTCAATATGACCCATGTTACCAGAGGTCTGGTGTCTAGTCTAAACGGTTCAATATGACCCATGTTACCAGAGGTCTGGTCTCTAGTCTAAACGGTTCAATATGACCCATGTTACCAGAGGTCTCTAGTCTAAACGGTTCAATATGACCCATGTTACCAGAGGTCTCTAGTCTAAATGGTTCAATATGACCCATGTTACCAGAGGTCTCTAGTCTAAATGGTTCAATATGACCCATGTTACCAGATGTCTGGTCTCTAGTCTAAACGGTTCAATATGACCCATGTTACCAGAGGTCTGGTCTCTAGTCTAAATGGTTCAATATGACCCATGTTACCAGAGGTCTCTAGTCTAAATGGTTCAATATGACCCATGTTACCAGAGGTCTGGTCTCTAGTCTAAACGGTTCAATATGACCCATGTTACCAGAGGTCTCTAGTCTAAACGGTTCAATATGACCCATGTTACCAGAGGTCTCTAGTCTAAACGGTTCAATATGACCCATGTTACCAGAGGTCTCTAGTCTAAATGGTTCAATATGACCCATATTACCAGAGGTCTGGTCTCTAGTCTAAATGGTTCAATATGACCCATATTACCAGAGGTCTCTAGTCTAAACGGTTCAATATGACCCATGTTACCAGAGGTCTGGTCTCTAGTCTAAACGGTTCAATATGACCCATGTTACCAGAGGTCTCTAGCCTAAACGGTTCAATATGACCCATGTTACCAGAGGTCTCTAGTCTAAACGGTTCAATATGACCCATGTTACCAGAGGTCTGGTCTCTAGTCTAAACGGTTCAATATGACCCATGTTACCAGAGGTCTCTAGTCTAAACGGTTCAATATGACCCATGTTACCAGAGGTCTCTAGTCTAAACGGTTCAATATGACCCATGTTACCAGAGGTCTCTAGTCTAAATGGTTCAATATGACCCATGTTACCAGAGGTCTGGTCTCTAGTCTAAACGGTTCAATATGACCCATATTACCAGAGGTCTCTAGCCTAAACGGTTCAATATGACCCATGTTACCAGAGGTCTCTAGTCTAAACGGTTCAATATGACCCATGTTACCAGAGGTCTCTAGTCTAAACGGTTCAATATGACCCATGTTACCAGAGGTCTCTAGTCTAAACGGTTCAATATGACCCATGTTACCAGAGGTCTCTAGTCTAAACGGTTCAATATGACCCATATTACCAGAGGTCTCTAGTCTAAACGGTTCAATATGACCCATGTTACCAGAGGTCTCTAGTCTAAACGGTTCAATATGACCCATATTACCAGAGGTCTCTAGTCTAAACGGTTCAATATGACCCATGTTACCAGAGGTCTCTAGTCTAAATGGTTCAATATGACCCATGTTACCAGAGGTCTGGTCTCTAGTCTAAATGGTTCAATATGACCCATGTTACCAGAGGTCTGGTCTCTAGTCTAAACGGTTCAATATGACCCATATTACCAGAGGTCTCTAGTCTAAACGGTTCAATATGACCCATGTTACCAGAGGTCTCTAGTCTAAACGGTTCAATATGACCCATGTTACCAGAGGTCTGGTCTCTAGTCTAAATGGTTCAATATGACCCATGTTACCAGAGGTCTGGTCTCTAGTCTAAACGGTTCAATATGACCCATGTTACCAGAGGTCTCTAGTCTAAACGGTTCAATATGACCCATGTTACCAGAGGTCTCTAGTCTAAACGGTTCAATATGACCCATATTACCAGAGGTCTGGTCTCTAGTCTAAACGGTTCAATATGACCCATGTTACCAGAGGTCTCTAGTCTAAATGGTTCAATATGACCCATGTTACCAGAGGTCTCTAGTCTAAACGGTTCAATATGACCCATATTACCAGAGGTCTGGTCTCTAGTCTAAACGGTTCAATATGACCCATGTTACCAGAGGTCTCTAGTCTAAACGGTTCAATATGACCCATGTTACCAGAGGTCTCTAGTCTAAATGGTTCAATATGACCCATATTACCAGAGGTCTCTAGTCTAAACGGTTCAATATGACCCATATTACCAGAGGTCTCTAGTCTAAATGGTTCAATATGACCCATGTTACCAGAGGACTCTAGTCTAAACGGTTCAATATGACCCATGTTACCAGAGGTCTGGTCTCTAGTCTAAACGGTTCAATATGACCCATGTTACCAGAGGTCTCTAGTCTAAACGGTTCAATATGACCCATGTTACCAGAGGTCTCTAGTCTAAACGGTTCAATATGACCCATATTACCAGAGGTCTCTAGTCTAAACGGTTCAATATGACCCATGTTACCAGAGGTCTGGTCTCTAGTCTAAACGGTTCAATATGACCCATGTTACCAGAGGTCTCTAGTCTAAACGGTTCAATATGACCCATGTTACCAGAGGTCTGGTCTCTAGTCTAAACGGTTCAATATGACCCATGTTACCAGAGGTCTGGTCTCTAGTCTAAACGGTTCAATATGACCCATATTACCAGAGGTCTCTAGTCTAAACGGTTCAATATGACCCATATTACCAGAGGTCTCTAGTCTAAATGGTTCAATATGACCCATGTTACCAGAGGTCTCTAGTCTAAACGGTTCAATATGACCCATGTTACCAGAGGTCTCTAGTCTAAACGGTTCAATATGACCCATGTTACCAGAGGTCTCTAGTCTAAACGGTTCAATATGACCCATGTTACCAGAGGTCTGGTCTCTAGTCTAAACGGTTCAATATGACCCATGTTACCAGAGGTCTCTAGTCTAAACGGTTCAATATGACCCATGTTACCAGAGGTCTCTAGTCTAAACGGTTCAATATGACCCATGTTACCAGAGGTCTCTAGTCTAAACGGTTCAATATGACCCATATTACCAGAGGTCTGGTCTCTAGTCTAAACGGTTCAATATGACCCATGTATGACCCATATTACCGAGGTCTCTAGTCTAAACGGTTCAATATGACCCATGTTACCAGAGGTCTGGTCTCTAGTCTAAACGGTTCAATATGAACCATGTTACCAGAGGTCTGGTCTCTAGTCTAAACGGTTCAATATGACCCATGTTACCAGAGGTCTCTAGTCTAAACGGTTCAATATGACCCATGTTACCAGAGGTCTCTAGTCTAAATGGTTCAATATGACCCATGTTACCAGAGGTCTGGTCTCTAGTCTAAACGGTTCAATATGACCCATATTACCAGAGGTCTCTAGCCTAAACGGTTCAATATGACCCATGTTACCAGAGGTCTCTAGTCTAAATGGTTCAATATGACCCATATTACCAGAGGTCTGGTCTCTAGTCTAAACGGTTCAATATGACCCATGTTACCAGAGGTCTCTAGTCTAAACGGTTCAATATGACCCATATTACCAGAGGTCTCTAGTCTAAACGGTTCAATATGACCCATATTACCAGAGGTCTCTAGTCTAAACGGTTCAATATGACCCATATTACCAGAGGTCTCTAGTCTAAACGGTTCAATATGACCAATATTACCAGAGGTCTCTAGTCTAAACGGTTCAATATGACCCATGTTACCAGAGGTCTCTAGTCTAAACGGTTCAATATGACCCATATTACCCGAGGTCTGGTCTCTAGTCTAAACGGTTCAATATGACCCATATTACCAGAGGTCTCTAGCCTAAACGGTTCAATATGACCCATATTACCAGAGGTCTCTAGTCTAAACGGTTCA